GACCGTCACCTCCTTACTGTTCCCAGTGGGCTGACTCACAGCTGCACCTGTGCCGGTCTGGCTACTGGCTACGCAGGAAGCATGTAACAGGTTAAAATGCCAGTGCGCCTGCCCTACCCGGGAGACTCAGACTTGCCTACAACCAAGGGGTGGGTGAGCGCATCTGTCAGAGATCCCTGGGTGATACGCATGTGCAGCCAGGTTTGGAAACCATGAGCATAGCTTTAAGTCTGGTATCCCCAACCCCTAGGTCTGAATCCCTTCAACAATCTACAGCTTCTGTGATTTGGGCCAAGTCATCAACTCTCCGTATCTGGAAAATGTAGAAATAAAAATGCCACTGCATTCAGTTGTCTCTGACTCAATAAATGGTAGCTGCTGTTATTTACAGATGCATATCCTAGTTTCTACAGGCTTTGTCCACTCTGAATATAAAAGGCAACCTCTTCAGGGTTTCTTGTGCTTATAAAAAAAGTTAGCATAATTATTGTTAGATTCAAAGACAAATGATATTTCGCTGGCCACTAAGTTTATAATAATTACATAATAATTTCCCATTCAAAAGAAAGTAATTAACAGAATTACCAAAAATCCTCCTAGAATTTGAGGTAATATGCATAATATGCAGTCAAAGTCAGACAGCTAATTTTTTGGTATATTACATTAAAATATAAAATTTCATTTTATCTTTTTCTTCTAAAAATATATAAATTTCATAAAGTAAATAAAAAAGAAGCACAAACTAACCATATCACAATCTGTGGCTTAAATATGTTATGGGCTTTTAACATTTTAAATGCACAAAACCCACAGTCTGTACAACACACGGAGTGATCAACTGGAACACGGAAATCTCAGGACACAATGCAGACTGAATAAATGAATCTAACTACAATACAAATGTATGATATAACCTCACTGGAGAGGGTAAAGGAAAAGGGTGCTAACCTAACTAGTCTTGGAAAACTGTGTTCTATAAAGCTAAAGACAAAAGAATGGAATTAGACACTGTACTCTAGTTGGTAAATTTATTCCTCACAGGGGTACTGGTGAGCAATTCTGAAACTATTTTATGTGATTAAAATACACAATTATTTGGTAACTAAAAGGTAAAATACACTTTTAAAACAAAAATATAGAATAGTCTAGCCCATACTGACTTACAGTTAGCTTCAAGGGAGGAAAAAATGTAACAAGAGTTCTTAAGAAATAATAGTTTATATTTGACTTCTTAAGCCTCACAACAACCCTGTGAGGTAGGCAGGAAAGTGTTATACCCATTTTACAGATGTGAAGACTTAGGGTCAGAAAGATTAAGTCATTTACAAAGTTATGTGGTGAGAAAGAGCCACATCAGGGAACGGAATCCATTATTTGACTTCAAAACTGTACATCTTTCCCCAACATACTTAGTAAAAAGACTAAAGCAAAACCAACCCAGATAGGAGTGTACATGTGTTCACAAAATACACCTCCCATTACAGACTTAAGTTCCTGAAATGGGAATAAAAATAAAGTCTTACTTTCCTACTGAGTTAGTTATTTCAGAGCCTTGTCTTTTATTAATCTGGATTAATCTCCAATACAGAAACATTTCTACTTTAGCTCTGGGTTACTCTTTTACTATCTGGCAAAAATAATATTTTATAAACCCAAATTTAAAACAACAGGGGCTTCTGTACTTCATTTTTTTTTAAGCAAACAATCTACAGATAATTTTAACAGACAAATCTTTAATCACATACTTATTAAGCTTTGAATTTGTATGTTTCTTTTCTTCTATAACAAGGATAACCTTTTCAGTTAAATCTCTCTTGGTCAAACCAAAGGGACACAACTTTGATGGAAATCCAAAACTACGGGCTACTACTACTACTGTCTCTTTTCAACATAAATTCTAACATAAAATGCAGTGCACTCGTTCTCAATGTTTTTCCTATTCCAACACATCTAAGGACGCAAAGCACTCCTGTTAGTGGCAATGGTTCACTGCCAGGGTCTGGGGGAAGAGACAATGTGGGTACACCATGTAAGGCAGTTTTAAGCCTAGACACACCTCCCTGAGCCCTCACCATACCACCAGCCCTCTCCTATGAGAACCACTGAATCAGAGATGCAGTAACACTGCCAGAGCCTTTTCATTCCTATTACTTCAAAACTAGTGCTTCACAATAAAAAATCATCAATGCTGTCTTACCCACATGTGTCCTCATTGGAACTAAACCATTCCAGCCAAAAACCTAGATCAAAGTAAGTTCTTCTATCTGAAACACATGACAAATCCTTATTACAGATCCAGTTTTGCTCTACTGATTTTGAAACCTGCATCATAATAAAATCTTATCATAAAACAGTTATTCACAGACTAAAGGGGGAAAAACTCATTTCCTCTAAAAAAAAAAAAAATCATTCCGTTAAAATACTAAAGAAAATCACAATATAGATTCATCTTTAAGATTTCTAATCAAAATAATACTTGAAGTAAAATAACCTCCTATAGCTACAAATTATTGATTCATTTTGCAAACATCTTATTATGTGACTGCTTGACTACTCCTCCTAAGGGTTCATGACCTGACCATCAGTTTAAAAATAAATTATTTTTTCAGATTATGTAATAAACTAATTTTTTAAAAAAGGTATATACATTGCATATAGCTACTAAAATTTAGAACCAGAGCCTCACACAGGTAGAAGGGCTCTCAAAGACCTGGGTTCTTTTGCTTTCAGCCAAATGAACATGCACACTCACCACTTACAAAGAAAACTCACTTGTACCGTTACTCTCGAGAACAATATCCAACAGTAGGGCCCTTTAGCTTCACCACCCTTAGCAGTAAAGAATTTGGGATATCAAGCTGTCAAAGCTAAATGTGCACAAAACCCAATTTCAACCACTTCCTCTAACAAGCGAATATATTCCTTTCACAAAAATCTTCACCGATCGAAACACATATCTGAAAAATCTTCACCGATCAAAACACGTATCTGATAATAATTAAGACTTCCCTGAGACTCCAACACCTCTGCTAAACCTTACCAAATAGCATGTATTTTTTTCCTTTGATCATTGCACAGTTCTTTACAATTCACATCCCTTTAACATCCAGTGACCAAAACTGGACGTGCTACTAAAAAAAGGAGTAAGCTATTGCGAATAGAGAAAGAACTATATCCATGACCTTGGATGCCATATGAACTTAAAAATACTTTAGCATCATGTTGACTTCTTTACTGACTCACATTCAGCCTGTGGTCGCCCACGACTGTGGCTTCGTCCCTCTTATTTATACCTAGCCCGTCCTTCTCCATCCTATATTTATATGGTTGCATTTTTTCCCTCCACACACCACCTTATACTTAATTCACTGTATTTTGTACAATTTTCATAGATCCATTTCCTCATTTTTCACAGTACTTTATAGAAATGTTTAAATCTACAATTTATAACGACCACTTATGCCTTAAAAATATCAAGACTATGAAAGCACATAATAATCAACACAATATACACTGTAATTTACAAGGACTAATGGAACTAAGGAGAAGACCATACTGATGCCTGCTGGAAACCTACCTCCACTGGACGGTCACTCTTTACCAGTGCTATACGTGCCCTTTGCAAGGAACCATCCATCAGCTTGTGAAGTCTTAAAATTAACTTTCTTAACCCCATCTGCTTCAGTGCTTTGTCTACAAATGGTCTATAAATAGAAGTCAGACAGTGTCTGCTAAAGCCAGCTTCCGTGCTGCAGTCTGGTGTTCCCCAGCCAACAGAATCATCCTCTGATTCAAGCCTTTCAAGCTTCTTAGAGGCGCAGTCCTGCGACTGGAAGCTAAAAGTGTTGTCAGTGGGCTGCCTGGTTTCTGGCACCCTTGGATCAGAGGTCTGTTCTTCACTCTCATCTGAGCTACTTTCCAGCTCTTTCAATTCTCCTTCTGTGTCATCTTCCTCATCTTCTGGCTCATTGCCTTTAGACGATCTAGGGGAAGAGATTTCAAACACTGGCCAGCCAATGTCTGATAAATTCTTAATGCCTAAAACAGTGCCCATAATCCTTAGCTTCTGATTTAAGTCTTTTGTGATGTTTAACCACAAGCAGAGTGCCTGCACCCTGTCCTGGAAGTCTTTTGCAGCATATTTTTCATAGTCCTTTTGAAGAGCCTGCAACGATGGATAAAGTGCTTCTATGTATTCCAGCAGCTCCATTATCCGCTTTACCTGTTCAAACGACACCCTCTGACGTTGGAGATGCTCATGATATGTTGAATAACCCACAATCCTTGTTCCATGAGGGGCTTTGCACTGTCCTTCTACTGGGGTACCATTAAAACTAGCTCTATTTCTAACTAAGGCAAAGCTCCCATAATTCACTTTGAAAGTAAGGATTTCGTTGATAATATCTGGTATAGCTTGACGGGCTGTATATAAAAAGAGGTCCTGGTCGTTAATGGTCCGTCCCGCATGCCAGGCTTGCAGCTCTAACCAGATCAGTTCATTCGATCGGTTAAACCAGAAAGCAGATGTATTTTCCTGTCCTCTTTGCTCCCTGTCCTTCTTCTTCGAGACTGAGGTAAGCTTTAGCAGAAGTCGTAAAGTTTCGAAAAACTTCAAGCGATCTGCAGGACAGTCAGTCCTGGAAGTCTGGCGTGCAGTTCTCGCAATAGGCATGGGCACAGACACCGGAAGCTTGGTGTTGCTGCAGCCGAGACTGAGGTAAGGCTTATTGAGATCCACATCTGGAATCGGTTTTTTGGGCAAAGACCCACCCACTGATTCCATCATGAATGAGCACTGCACGTTTTTCTTACGGTCGCGCTCAGTTGTCCTAAGAGCCGCGCGGATCCTCTTCTCCTCGATTTTTCCAGTGTCTCTATGTGGAGGCTGATTTGATGCATTCATTTTTTCTATAAAAAATAAACAGTATTATATTACTCCAAAATATGAAGCTATTCTCAATAATTTCAGTAAAATTGATATTCACATGTACTCATATTTTCAGGTTATTGGAGAAAAGATCATATCATATGCTGAAAATTAAAAGAATCAAAATATATGACATTTCTGAATTTTTTAAAAAAATGTATCCATTTTCCTTGCTGTACTATACTTGCTATAGTCTAACATTCTCCACTACTAACCTAAAATGAGCTATTCACCTCCACACTACAAAGTACAGTTACCTAGCTAGTCACATCTTCACAATTTATCACCTTCAGCTAAAAGGAGAGAAACAGTAGGGCACATCTCACAGAGACCTGGTTTAGAAAACACCTGTGAGTCCTTCCTTTGCCATGAACTAAGTGAATAAACTTACAGCAAATCACTTAAGTTTTCTGGGTCACTTTTCTCATTTGTAAAATGAAGTAGACTGAGGAGAGAATCCTTAAGGCACTTTAACATTATTCTCATAGAAAACTGAAACACAGATGACAAGCAAAAATGTAAGCCTTAATTTATTCTATTCCTTGATTTCTTCTCGGCCACAAACAAATGAACAATAACATTTTAAACTTAACATTAAGAACACTGAAGACAGACCTGGCTGGTGTGGCTCAGTTGGTTGAGCGCTGACCCATGCACTGAGAGGTGGCTGGTTTGATTCCTGGTCAGGGCATGTACCTGGGTTGCAGGCTCGATCCCTGGTAGGGGGTGTGCAGGAGGCAGCCAATCAATGTTTCTCTCTCATTGACATTTTGCTCTCTTTCTCTCTCTCTCTCTCCCTCCTTCCTCTCTCACTAAAATCAATAAAAACATATTTAAAAAACAACTACAAAACAATTACTCAGAAAAAAACTTTCTATCTCAGGAGACTTAGTGTCTCCTTTACTAGCAATACAGATAATGGTAAAAATTAAAAAGTTAAAAGCTTAAATGTAAAAGCCACATTAAATTCAAATTTAAAATAAAAGGAATAACTAAGATTACGGTACAAAGGATCAATCAATGGTTACACAGTGTATAGAGATTATGTACCAGGCCCTGGCCGGCAGCTCAGATGGCTGGAGCATCGTTCCATACACCAAAAGGTTGTGAGTTTGATCCCTGGTCCGGGTGCATACAAGAGGCAACTGATCGATGTTTCTCTCTCACATCAATGTCTGTCTGTCTGTCTGTCTGTCTCTCTCCCCCTTCCTCTCTCTCTAAAATCAATGAAAACATATCCTTGGGTGAGGAGGGTTGAAAAAAAAGGGTTATGTACCAGAAGTGCCACGCCCTCTCATGTGTATCTTTTCAAGACTTACCTTTCAAACTGGAGCGACTGGCAGGCCTCCCTACGCTATTCCTCTGGTGTTTGGTTGACATGCGTTTCATCTGTCGAGGTGTACTGGGGGGAGAGGTGCCATAAAGGTTCTCTGTATTTGTTTCATCTGAAAACTCCTCCACGTCAGATTCAGAATTCTTGCAAGCTGAATCTCCCAGTATGCACTCTTGCCTGTGAAAAACAATAAGCAAATATTCAGAAATATAGTAAGTGAATTCAAATTTAATCTACTTAAAATTTAAGAACTCTTGGTAAAACTTTTGTATGGATATGTCTCCTCAGCACTGCAACCTCTCTCTGCGCTTGTGGAAACTCACAGAACTTCTCTTTCACTCAAAGGAAGCAAGGACTGACTGCGGCAGCATTTACCACATGGCCAGAAGCGATGAGCAGTTTCTGTTATTTGTAGAACTATTTCTAACATAAATAAAATTTAAAACTAAAAACTTACAGATTAAAGAAAAAAAACAAAGAACTAAAAGACACAAATCAGATGGAACTAAGCATGCACTGTGCGCCCGCCACAGACGAGCTGGGGGGCAGGGGGCAAGCATGGCAGGGCCTGGCTGCAGAGCGCCTCTTCAAAGCACATACAGAAAGCACGGGGACACTTCCCCCGACCTGAGCAGCAAAACAGAGTCCTGCTCACGCACGGCAAGTCAACCTTCCCATGTTCCCTGACACACACTACAGTACAGAGGGCGGGTGAAGGTGCCGGGGGGGGGTG